TCTGTCTGGGACCCTTTATTGTGATCCCTGTCAGAGCAGTCAGTGGTCATAGCCGGGCACCATCTAGTTGTACTGGACCGTCTGGTGCAGGCCATGGTAGATGTGGTCCATTAGTCCTTTGGACTGATCTTTCCCTTGTATCTTTAGTTTTCTTCATTCTCTGTTGCTCCCGAAGGGGTGAGACCAGTGGAGTATCTTAGATGGCTGCTTACAGGCTTTTAAGACCCCAGACGCTACTTACCAAAGTAGAATGTAGAACATTTTCTTTATAAACTATGTTATGCCAATTGAGCTGGATGTTCCCCGAGACCTTGGTCCCCACAGTCTAGGCTGTAATCTTTATGGTAGCAAATAGCCAGGTCTTTCTCCTGTGGAGCCTCTGGGTAGATTTGAACCACCAGCCTTTCAGTTAGCAGCCAAGTGCTTAATCATTGTGCCACCAGAGCTCCTTCTCTCAGGGTACCACCACTGAAATATTCCAAAATGTCTTATAATTTTAGACCTTAGAATTACCTGCCTTAAATATGCCTGGAGCCTCTTGATTTTCTAGCTAATATTACTTAAAAAAAAAAAAAACTATATATGTTATTTTTAACATACCTCTGTTATATTTATTTAACAAATGTTTGTAGAACATTTACCAGACATTCTGCTGGATACTTTAATAGGACAGAAATAAATAATTCATAGCCTCTGCTCTGAAGTATCTTATAATTAGTGGGAGTTAAAGATGTATACTTTAAAAAAAAAAAAAGGAACAAGCAAGGGAATGAAAGAGCAGCAAATAAAGTGAGCTGATAATAAAACTACTCATCTCTGGTTTCCCAGCTGAAACACTGAATTAGGATTTGCCAAACTTTAAAGGACTTAAGTCATTCAGTTGCACTGCATCAAGTAACATCATTGATGGTAACGTGCTTAGATTGATTGCCTAAGACAAATGCATGTCCAAGAACCCATTCCTCAGTATATATTCAGCTTTTCTTTGCAATTATACATGAAAAAGGGGGCCTCGATATTAATATTTATGATTTATTTAAGGTCAGTGCTCACAGAGAATCCATATAAAACCACTCAGGTTTGTATATGACCACAGGGAAAAAGCAATTTTTACCAAGTTCTCTATGTTTTATCTTATTTTAATGTCATATAATACTTTAAAACTTCCAGAACTTGAACAAGACATAGTCCAAGGAAGTTATTATATTTCTGCCAGTCCTTAACAGTATCTTAAAATTAATATTAAAAAATAAAGGTGAGATGGACAAATCACATTGATTAAGGGTAGGGTTGCAAAGCCAATTATTATAATAGCTTTCAATAAGTTGTACACTTGTAAAAAGTTGAATTGGCAAAAGTTGTGTGATAGATACATTTATAACAACGACCAAAAAACAAAAAGAGAGTACCTGCTGAGGCTACTTACGTACAAGTGAACACTTCATGGGATTTGGTTCCTTGGTTCAGAGGTTTAGGGTCATGGTTTCATGGGACATCCCAGTTAATTGACCTTATAACATGTTTAGTACTTCTGTTCTACATCCTAGTTTGTTGTGTCATGCCTGGGGTCTTGACATCTTGCAGGTGGCCATCCAAAGCACAACAGTTGGTCTCTATTCACCTGGAACAACAGAGAAAGAAGGAGAATCAGGAATAGGCGAAGGATACGGAATGTGTGGCTAATTGCCTCCATGAACAACTGCCTCCTTTGCCAAGTTAGATCAAAAGAACTGAGTGGTGCCCAGCTGCCATTACTGAACATTTTGATCAAAGTTTCCATAGGAAGATCCTAATCAAAAGAGGGAAAATGCAGAACAAAATTTCAAATTTTATTGGACTCTAGACTGTCTGGAGCCATGAAGGGTGGATGAACCCCTGAAACTACTGCCTTGAGATAATGTGTAAATCTTAAACCAAAAATATCCCCTGAAATCATCTTAAAACTGAAGAGTAGTTTAGCTTAACTGGTAAAAAAAGGTCGCCTTGAGCATTATGCTCTTTTAAGAACTACCTATATGGGATCAGATTGAAAACAGTAACTTCAAAGATCACATAGGAACCTTAGGGGACAGTGAGTTTATGTTAATGAGGGAGGAACAACTCAGAAAAGGAAGGTGAATATGGTTGCCCGCTGTGAACAATGTGACCAGTGCCACTAGACTGTACATGTAGAAACTGTTGAAATGGTGTATGTTTTGCTGTATATATTCTCAACAACAACAAAATACATAAAACTTAGGAAAAAAAATATAAAGCCAAATTAAATTTCTTCCTCAAGAAGATTCTGAAGCAGTACTGGATTTTTTTTTTTTTTTTTTTTTGAGGTTCCATTGTTGTTTTTTTTAATTGTGCTTCAGGTGAAGGCTTACAGAACAAATAGTTTCTCATGAAACAGTAGTACACATATTGTTTTATGATCTTGGTTAACAACCCCACGACATGTC